GCCCTCACGCTCTCCGTGCCGCCCTCACTCACCGCGGCCGCACCGAGCGCGTCCCGGCGCGGACCGAGCGCGGCGGCCGCCGACGCGCACAGAGCCCGCAGCGCCTCCCCCGCCCGCCGCCTGCTCCCTCCCCTTATACCCTACCCGCGCTGAGAGACATCGCTTCTAGCCAATCAGCGCCCGCCGGCACATAGCAACACGCCGCGGATTGGCCGCCGCCGGCCGCAGCCCATTTTTGCCGAGCCATTCAGAGCGCGGCGCTCCCGCCCCTCCCGCGCGCACCGGCGGGCCCGCACGCAGCGGCTGCGGCGGCCGCGGCCAATGGGAGCGCGGCTCGCGCGGCCGCACAACAAACACGGCGCGGGCTCTTAAAGGGGCCGCGGCCGCCGCGGGGATGCGCGCAGGATGCGCGGGGGATGCGCGGGGGATGCGCGGCCCCGGGGGTCCCGGGTTTCGGGGTCACGGCGCAGGGAAAGGGGGCGGCTGCGGTCACTGGCCCGTGGTTGTGCGGTGTTTGCGTCTTTCCCCGCGCAGGTAATTAGCGCGCGTTAATGAACGGCGGTAATTAGCGGTGTCTGGAGCGCGGGGCGGGCGCTGGGGTTGGCTCCGGGAGTGGGGGAGCAGCGGCAGAGCAGAGACACAAAATTCACCAATTTCACCCGAAAATCTCCAGTACTAACCCCAAAATTCACCAATTTAACCCCAAAATCTCCAGTACTAACCCCAAAATCCACCAACTTAACCCCAAAACCCACCAGTATTAACCCCAAAATTCATCATTATTAACCCCAAAATCCCCCAATATTAGCCCCAAAACCCACCAGTATTAATCCCAAAATTCACCAATATTAACCCCAAAATCCACCAGTACTAATTCCAAAATCCACCAATATTAACTGCCAAAATTCACCAGTACTAATCTCAAAATTCATCAATATTAACCCCAAAATTCATTAATAATAATCCCCAGATCCACCAATATCAACGCAAAATGCGCCAATATTAACACCCAAATCCACCAGTGCTAACCCCAACATTCACAAATATTAACCCCAAAATCCACCAGTACTAACCCCAAAATTCATCACTATTAACCCCAAAATCCACCAATATTAACCCCAAAATCCACCAGTACTAACCCCAAAATTCACTAATGTTAATCCCCAAAATCCACCAGTACTAATCTCAATATTCACCATTATTAACCTCAAAATCATCGGTATTTACCCCAAAATTCATCATTACTAACCCCAAAATCCACCAATAGTGATCTTAAAATTCACCAATATTAACCCCAAAATCCACCGATATTAATGCCCAAAATCCAACAATAGTGATGTTAAAATTCACCAATATTAACCCCCCACAATATTCACCATTATTAACCTCAAAATCATCGGTATTTACCCCAAAATTCATCATTACTAACCCCAAAATCCACCAATAGTGATCTTAAAATTCACCAATATTAACCCCCCCAAATTCACCAATATTAACCCCCCAAATTCACCAATATTAACCCCCAAACCCCCAACACCAACCCAGCCTCTCCACCACGCCACGGGGCTGACTGCAGAAATGAGGATATTCCATATTTCTCCTGGAAATCTCCCTCCATGAATTTTCCCAGCGGAGATTTTTGCACCCCAGCAGCTCACAGCCCCAGCAAACCCCAATTAAAAGCCATCCCCTCCGAGCTCTGTAATTAACACAGCAGCACCCAGCAGCTCAGCTCATTTGAAGGCTTCTCCCTGCACCTTTTTATTCCCTAATAACAATAATTCAGTGTATAAAGTACAGGTTTCATAATCCCAGAAGGGTTTGGGGTGGAGGGAACCCTAAAGTCCATCCCTGACATAGGCAGGGACTCTTCTCACTATCCCCTAGACATTTCTAATATTAAAAATATTTAATTAATATCTATCTGTCCATTTCTCACATCCGTGATTAAAGTTCTGCATCTTCAGGGCTGAAATATATTTGTTTTATGAGATTATTCTTGTTCTCTCTCTTGCTTAAGGAAATTCTTAATGATATTTTACTGCAGAATTCTTTAATTGGTAATAAGAGCAATATTCTGGTTCAAATGTTAAATACATGGAATAACAAGGCAAAATTTCCGTTAATTCTGATATTTTTGTGGGTCAAATAACATCCTAGCTTGTGCTATAAATTATTTTCCTTCCACACAAGCCAAGCCCATCCCTCTGATCACTGAAGCAGCTGGGTGAGGAATCCCACAACCAGATTTTCTACATTAAATTACATTTTTTTTCACCTCCTGTACACTCCTGGTCCCATTTAAACTCACTGCTAACAAAGATTCCAGCACCAGGCTAGTTAGCAGCTATTAAATACTGCCAATAAAGAGGAAAATTGCTATTTTTTTAAAATTTAATTGTGTTATCTTTAGACAGCTGCAAGAGGAGCTGCTTTGAAGGCTTACTTTAAGCTTCTTGTTTTCTCAGATAACCTCCTGCCTTCCCCATGCTGCAGCAAAAAGCAAACCCCAGATTTTCAGCCTCTCTCCCCAGGGCTAAAAACTCTGTATTTAACAGATCTAGAGGTTATCAGCAGGAAGTGGTGACAGAATTCACTCGAACTTTAAATCACCCAGAAACCATCAGCAAAACAATTTTACATCATCAAAGTGGTGGATTTTTTTTTTTTCACCCCAGCAGAATTTTTCAGTACATTATTATTTACAAGGTGAACACCAATATTGTTTATATGCAAAGGTTTCTGTTGTTTATTGGTTTAGGGTGAGGATAAATTGGAATTATATTGCTTTAAGTTCAGCATCACTATGGAGATCTGGGGGCTCACACAGATTTAAGGTTGTAATAAAATATCACCATAAAAAAGCCAAAATTTCTTATGTTCTGAACCCCATGATTTACAAAAATTGGAAAGTTTTTAGGGATAACAGTGTTTTATAAGGAGAATTTCACTCACTTTTGTAAAATAAAAGACTGGTTGATTTAAATGCTACTTGTTAAAGCTTCAAATCCCATTTTCATGTTTGATTCTGGGTTAGTTTGGTCACAAACTTTGCAAGCACAGCTTGGGCAGCACCATGAAAACTTCTGCTGGGCTGAGCTTTAGGGAAATCTATTAAAAAAAAAAAAAAAAAAAAGTGAATTTTGGCTCTACAATAATTACAACTTAACTTCCAACTGAACAGCTAACCAGGATTTTTCATTTCACTATTTGCAAACAGTCTTTTTTTGGAGCCTGAGCAGCACAGCTACTGTTTTCCCCTGCTCAGTGTCTGATATCAGTTTAAACCTTAATTATCATTTAAACGAGCAAAGCCCAACTGCTCCAGCATCACTGCCTGGAGGAAACTTTTGTCCTGGCAATACTGAGAGGAGAGAAAATAGCAGATCACCCACTGAGGTATTGCCTCAACTCCTTGGGAATGAAGTGTGTGTTTAGAGCTGATAAAATCTCAGTTTCTTGGCATTCCTGAATTTTATTTACAGCAGGTGTTAATGGCCTTGTAACCAAGAGACCTCCCCTGCTATTGCCTTTTTTCTCTAAAATGGGAATATTTGAAATTTTTGATGCAGAAGCATCCTTCAAGTGTTTCCATCATTAACAGAAGTAGGGTTGTTTTTTGGTTTTTTTTTTTCCAATTTCACTATTTTTTGGTCCAACAAAAAAAAAAAAAAAGTGCTTCATCCTACCCCAAAAATCACCAAGCCATGACTGTGCAGCTGTAAAATGAGCTGATCCCTCATTTTCCTTTCTGTCGCGATAATCCAGATTTTCCCATTAGGATTTCCATTCCCTTTCCATAAATGGATGGTAAAATCTCAGGATGTGGGGCTGGAGGAGCATCCCCCCGGCTGCAGCTCTGCACTGCGGGCTGCCCAGGGATGTGGAGCCTCTGGATGGAGATGGAATCCATCGGGAATCACAGCCCGGGCTGTGGCGGCCTCCCGCGGCAGCGGCGAGCAGGGACACAACCATTTATTTCCTACCCTAAATCCATCCCTTCTGCACGGCCACGGGGAATTTCAGGGGCAAACCAATGTAAAAAAAATTAATTAATTATATATATATATAAAATTAAATTATAATATATAATTAGACTTAATTATATAATTATTATATTAATATATATTTATTATATATATAAATAGGAAAAGTATATTATACAACTATTAAAATGTATATTAAATTTATATAAACGATAGTATAATTATTATATACTAGATAAATAATATATTAAAGTTTATAAAAACTATAGTTATTATATATACACTATAAAAACCCCATAAATTTTTACATACTATATAAAGTTATATAATATTTATATAATATAAACATATATTCTGCATTATATCTAATTATATATTATGTTATAATAAAATAGTATATAATATTATAGTATATATCCTGAAAATTCCTTAAATTAATTAGCACCTCAAGCCTTCTTGCTTCAGGTAAATAAATTGTGAAGTTCTGAATATTCTGTTTGAGCTGCAGATTTAGGTCAGGTGACAGCACCTGAAGGGATCACAGAAAAATACTTCCAATGTTAAAAGACTCTGTAATGCCCCCCCAGTTCCCTGTTCTGGTTTACCAAACATTTAGGATGTGTTTTAAGAAATCAAAGAGCATCCAGAGCCATCTGGAGAAACCTCTCATCATGCTGGAAAAGTCCTTTAGAAGTTATTGAATATTGTAACACACAAAGCCCCACTTCACCTCTCTTACCTAAACATGAACCCTCATGGCTTTAAAATTACACTTGACCTTCAAACCTAATATTTAATGTAATTTAATGGCAATCCAGAAGGAAAGCTGGAATTTTTTCCTCTAGGATTAAAGGAAATCTTATCCTGTTGATCATCAGGAAGGACAGAGACTTGCTGCAAGTGGAATTCCTGGGAACACAAACTCAAACCAAGGACACTGTCAACACAAAGTCACTCTCAGAGATTGGTTTTTAGGGAAAGAAGTCACACCTAAGAAGCATTCAGTTTTAGACCTTTTATGAGCAAAGATGTTTTAATGTGCCACATTTCAAAAGCATCAAATCCTTCTTCACATGAAAAGAAAAATCACTGCATAGCTTTGGAGCTAGAGAGGTCCACGAGACTTTCTGCAAATTAAAAGTGCATGAAATACATGCAGTCATCCTTCATACATAAAACAGTCTGCAACAGGGTTGAGAACACAGTGTTAAAACAATATTTAGAGTTAAAAGTACCTGAAAAGGATCTCTCCTCAGAGGGAGAGATTAACTGAACATCCTCCTGGACAGTTGTGCAAGTTCTCAACAAAAGCTTTTCTGTACAAGTGGTTTAAAATTCCAGCGAGTTCTGGAATATTGCAAACAAGGATTGGATGGAAGAAATGTTTTACAGTTACCCCAAGTCCGTGGTGTTTGTGACAAACAGTTATCATGGCCCAAGCCCTGTGCACTGGTGCTGGCATTCACCCATGGAACATCAGCTGTGCCATGAGATCCAAGCTGAGCTCTTGTGCTAAAGCCACAAGAGGTGAAGGAATAAAATAAATCCAGCAGCTTTTCCAGCACTGGACCCTTTCCCTCCCAGTCCAATTGTAGATATTGAGCAGCAGATTTATCCAAGAGAGGTCAATGTATAAACAGCACAGTCAGAAGCTCCATCAGATGTAAGAACACTGCTGGTCTGACTAAAATAGGGTTGAAAAATGTGTTGAGAATTTTAAAAGGCAGAGATTTCTATCTCTACTACTAGAGAGATAACAAAAATATTAAAATTAAATATAAAACACTATCGTTTTCAGTGCCTGTGTTTTATCACTCCATATAGAATAATGGAAAATGGTTTATTTATTGAGTGTTGAGGGAAACTTGAGACAAAGTCAGAGATCAAAACTGGCATTTTAAAACTTAGCTCTTCCTAACTGAAACAAGACAGTTTTAATGTTTTTGACAGTATTCTCTAAAACCATAATTATATCTGCATCTTAATATTGGTGCATGTGTCAGAAATTCAATAGCAATAAAATTGAGTTTAAAAAAACCCACATTGCATAAAAGCCTATCTGGAGCTACAAACTGCTAATAAATCCAGATTAGGACAGAAAGGTGGCATTTTTTAATTTACTGAGCTGCATGTGGAACATTTTCTATAACTATTCTGTGGCTTCTAAAAAGCAGGCAGAGCTGTGACTTGACTGATTATTAGCACTTATGTGACCAGACAGAACTGGTCTGAGAGGGAAACAGAAAGCTTAGTACCTAATAAATAATTTCATCCTTTTCCCCCCATGAACAGTTAGGAAGTTACATTTTCCTCTCTTCCATTCAATAAGCAACAAGGCTGATTAAATTAGGAGGAAATTGAATCTGCAGTCATCTTCACCAGGCAGATATTCAAAAGGACAACATTAACTCATCTGCCCCCATCAGCACATGTTCACTTGAATCCTAAATGCAGCAGTTTTTTTCCATTTCATCCAGACATATTCCTTAGAAAGGAACTGTGGTGCAGAAACAAACACTCTCCCTGCAGATGGATTTGGCATTCTCACAGCCTCCTGACAGGCAGTGGAACAGCAAAGACGCTCCACAATTATAAATATGGCACAGCAGCCAGGGGGGTGCAACAAGAACCCTCCCAAATCTGAGCTACCCAGGGGGAAAAAATGACTTAAAAATCAGTTTTTAGCACAGTGGCTGCTCCTTGCAGTAAAAGCACATCTGACTACTGTGTTTATTATTAAGATCTATTATTTTCACATGAAATCCCTTCAAGAAACAGACACTGCTGGACCCAAACTCTTGTTCAGAGAGAGCATCTGATGATTCAGTGACTGAGCTCTATACATTGGGTGTCATTAATCCATAATCACAGCCCTGAACCCCCAGCCAAGACATGAGCACACCAAGGCACACGGGCACTGCAGGCTCCAACCTGTCTGACACAGGGGTAACTCCTGCTCACAAGGACACAACAGCATGGGAAGCTTCTAGAAACACCTTCCTGCCTAACCCCATTCCATCACACCTGGGGTTTCCTGGCTTTTGCCAGTTATTCCCACATCCATGCACATAAACTTGGATATTGAATGGGTTTTTGTGGAGAGAAAAGGCTAAAGTCTATACACATTCTAGATTGACATTTCCTCCCTTTATAAATACAAATAAAAATCTACTTTGGGTGAATTCATTTAATAGGAACATTTTCATTTGTCCCTGAAACTCCCAACCTAATTTAAATCTTCTTTGGTCCCTCACCCTAAAAAACATCTTCCTGTTCATCAAGAACCACAAATGTGCAAAAGACTTCTAGGACATGGTGAAAAGGCTATTTCAAAGTGAGTGGAATCTGTAACATGTGCAATTTTCCATCCTGGAAATCCAGCCACTGCCATGACAGGCAGGCCAGAGCCAGGGGCAAACCTGGACCCTGCACTGGAACTTGGTGTCAAACCCAGATCCTGGTTTAAATCCTGTGTTTAGACCTGGACCAACAAGTCACAGTGTTGCCATCACCTCAGAGGGTCCAAATCCAGTTCCAACTCAAGTTCAACATTCTTGTCAGTGAGAATAATGGAATAAATCTGTACTGAGTTAATTTTGGCTAAAAGTGATCACCTTCACTGAGTACACTTCACTGCCTGGCCAGACACAGAGTCTGCTTTGCTATTTCTCCTGTGCCTGTTTTTCTTTATTTTTTTTTTTTTCTCTAGAAGTTACCTGAAATCTAAAAGCAACACAAGAAATGCAAACACACAGGCTACACTTTCAGAAATTCTTCAGTTTCTGCTCACTAGAATATAACTGGAATAACTGACATATCTGGACAGCTGCTTAGGAACACTTGTGACAGGTAAGATAATGCTTATTATCTACAGGTACCTTATGAGGCAACTCTCTTCCTAATCATCACCATTTGTGAAGTGTGCTGTTACTAAATGAGCTATTTACAAATGTAAACTATGTAATTAAAGTTTTAAAATAAATATACAACCTTGACATTAGGTAGTGACTTGACAACAAGGTAACAGATCATCAGTTACACCTTTCCAACAAAAATGATCTGTGCATGCTGCCCCCAATTATTTTTTTTAATGAGGAAAATCCTTGGCTCACAATCTGTTCTGGAAGGACTTTCTCAGTTTTCTTCCTTCATGCTGGGTAATTATGTAAGAACTCCTTCAGTTTTGTTGGATAGTCTGTCATCACTCCAGTAGCTCCAAGATCAAATGCTCTCTTGTATTCTTCCTCTTCATTCAGTACCCAAATGTAAACCTGTGAAATGGGACACAACAACCAAGTTATTACAGGAAATACTCATTTATTTTTAAAAAGTGTCTTTTGACCTAAATTGTTTGATCTGAGAGAGATGTTGCTGCATATTTAAAATGAGAGATGATTACACTGTGATGCTGGACTTTTCCCCCTCACCTTCCAAAAGGAACATTTTTTAATGGTGACTCCAATTCCACTACCTGAGACTTTGTATCCTTCTAGAAGTCAGTATTATTTTGTGATAGTCCCACATCAGATCACCAGTTTTGCAGATTTTGTAGGCTTAATTCGAAGTGGGGAAAAAAACTCATTAACTTCAAGGGATTAAAATGAAAAACTTTTTTTTCCAGGTGTACAAATCTTCCTTTGCAACCAGAGCACAGCAAATACAACAGCAGCAGCTTTTGCTCAGGAACTAAACAGCAACTCGTGGTCCCAGAAACACAAAGAACTTGCAGGGGGGAACAGGAATCTCTTTCAAGGCTGTGTCTGTCTGGTTTGAGTTCTCACTCACAGCTTTGCCCCACTGTACCTGGATGCCCCGAGCTGTGAGGTGATCAAACAGTGCCTTCCTCATCAGCAGCCTGGCAAAGGAGAGGGAGATTAATTAACAACCTCAAGTATATATGGAATTTTCAGTGTCTGTTGATGACCTGCAATGAAGTTCCCATACAATGTGTAGAGTTTTCCACAAGAGAAGTTCAATTCTAGAAAGTTCAAGCATTTCAAGTATCAGCTCTGCTGAGGATCAAATCCAGCAGAGAAATCCTTCACCCTGCAGGTACCTTACACCTTGTCTGATGAACCAACCACTCTGCTTTCAGGAGAGGTTTTATCCTTTCCACCAGAAGACATTAAAATGTCCTGGCCACTGGAGAAACTGAACTAATAGATGTCAGAGCCAGGAGACACTGCAGTCACTGAAAACCTGTGACTAAATCCCCTCTGAAGCACAGATATTCTTAAAATGCAAAGTGTTCCTTGTAAGGCAAACAGTGTCTCTCCTCTGACAACATTATGAAACAGTCACATCCACAAAACCTGCATTCTGCATCTAATTGCATGTTAATTAGCTGAGCACACTTAAGGACAGAAGCTTAACAGACACAATTGGAATAATTGGATACTGCACCTTAGAAAGCTTCAGTGTATGGAAAATAAAAGCATAGAGCACACCTACATAAGATGTGAGTCTGATTTATCCTGCACTGACAAAAAGCTGGAAGGAGCTGAAAATATACAATGCATAGATATAGCAATAGCTAATCTTAGTTGAGTCAAGTGTTAATGTAAAGGCAAAATATAAATAAAAACTTTATCAGACAAAAATCTTACGTGTCAGCCAGCCAGATAACAAATCTCTGGCTTCTTGACATCTTCTCTGGTTCTTTCAGCCTGTTGAGGAAGAGGAAACCAAAAATTACCAGAGCACAGATTAACATCTTAGTTGAGATGTTCCAGCAAAAGGAACATAAAGAATTAATCTTGCTCAAATTAGAGCAGTAATTTCTCTGCTCAAGACAGTGACGTAGAATTGGGTTATACAAGAGAAATGAGCTACATTTAAGAGAAGCAGCAAGAGATGAGAGTTCTGCAGCATTTTGAGTGAAGAATGAGAAAGATTGTGAAATCTCATTTCCACCCTACTGCTGACTTGTCTCTTGGCCCCATCAGACAAATTTATTCTCAAGAAAAGAGGAAGAATCAGTTGTAAGCACAGAACTGCTGTGTATTACTGTGCACAGAATTCTCCCAGCAGTATCCAAAGGTGCCTAAACCAACAGAAAAGCAACCTCAGCCCAAAAAAGCAGTGCTCAGGGAGGCATCAGGGTTCACACCTGCTTTACATTGGGGCAGCAGTGGGCTGTAACTTACTTGAGGATGATGGAAGGCATGGGAATCTCAAAGAATTCCTCCTTGAAGGGAACAAAGGGCAGCAGCCCAGTGTAGAACAGGCCAAGGAGCAGGAGGACACGCTGGGCACAGAAGATGGTGGGAATGTCAGAGTTCTGCAGGAACCAGGAAAGAGATTCTCAGTTATCTTGGTAGATTTTGACTCTGTTGCAATTAAATTTACTCATCATTGCATGTCTGAAGTTCAGCAATCACACCTGAGAATAAGCTGCTTTATGTGAATAAATTTAACTGCTGTTCAGGTAGGAAATGGGATGTTGTCCTGCACAGATAAATTGAAATAATCAGCTAGACTGATCTATCAACAAGATGGATTTCACTCAGGTGCGTAACTCCCTTGGACTAAGCACAATTTTAATTTAATTCTAAATTGTAAAACTCCTCAGCACAGGGAGGAGGTGAATTATAGCTGTGAAAGAACATCTTTATGCTGATACAACTCTGTCCACTAGTGGCCACATCCATTATTTTCATGCAAAGAAACAGACAATCAGCAATTCTTGGAAAAATTGCTTTTTATCAGATGAATGATGTGCAAAACAGGCTTCTAAGAATTCCTGGTATAAAACTGCAATGCCCTATATTTCATAAAACAAGAATAAAACATGACTAAGCTTAATTCCTCAAGTATGTTATGGCAGGGTAGAGGGGTGCTAACTGTGCTTGTCTTATTTTAGCAGTACAGCAAGCAGAACAATCTGAGCACAGAATTTCTCACCACGAGTAGAAGCCTGGCTTAGCTGGTTAAATCTTGATTTGCAGAGTGCTTTTCTGTAGGTTTTGTGAGCACACAGTACCAAAGCTCAGCTGGACTCAGCCTTACCTCCTTGAAACACTTGCACACAATCTCATAATTGACGTTGCCCCACACGGTCAGATGCTCTCTCTTGTACTGGCTCACCAGCTCTGAGACCTGCAGCACAGAAAGCACAACTCTCACATGGAATCACTGGAAATTAACTGCAGCATTATTTAACTGAAACTCTGCTTGCTTTGGAAATCATTACAGAAAAAGAGTTCTTTACTCTTTCCCATCGTAAGGTGGTTGGGATGCTTTGATGGGAAATAAAGAGGTGTTTATACCTACAAAAAACCCTAAAGAATTCAAGAAGCCTAAAAGACAAAATAATACTTTCTGGAAAGATTTCCCTCTGTGTTGAACACATCTACACAATAACATCATGTTTTTATGCTTCTTTGGAGGGCAAAGCAACATAAAGTCCCTAAGAAGACCCTTCCCATGAGTTACAAACCAAACATGTCTCCAGCAGTGCTGGAGCAGGTTCTCTTCCAGATGAAGGGTCCTAAAAAGCTTTTACAGAGTATCTTGCACAAGATCCCTTCTCTGTCTCCTTTATTACCTCACACAGGGAGCAGGACCCAACACGTGAAGGGTGAAGCAGTCCAAGAACACAGATCTTGCTATCACAGACTGCCAGAACTCCAAAAAACTTCTGGAATATCAGCAGCATTCCCCTGCCTTTGCTGTCAGCTCAGCAGGTTCCCAGTTACCTTTCTGATCAACACGTCGTTGTTCATTTTGATGTCAATGTTGACAGGAGTTTCTGGAAATGCCTCAAACACCTCTTGCAGGAGTGGGATACGATTGTCTGTCCCCTCACACTGACTTTCTGGGGAAACAAGAAACTTCTCACTGCTGTGGCAACTTTTAATAAACCACAGATAAAAGCAGAAATGTCAGAGCACTCATTACCTTCAAACTTTAATAAAATATTAAAGTTCCAAGGATAATCACGTTTTTAAACAAAAAATGACTTCATTCAGCTGTAATTAACTATGACAAGCTCATTTCCATAATGAAAATGCCCTGAGCATGTTGCACATTCAGGTTTTAACTTCATGAGATTCACTCATTATTTAGCAACAGTAGGAGTGCAGGCAACATTAAAATCCTGAAATAGCAAACACAGGCTCAGTTACCACACACCAAATGCAATGAGATTAACGTGAAAAAGACCAAATGAGAAGAAAATTTCCTTCTGAACTCCAAGTCATACCTACAGTAACTACTGCACTGCTTTCTACAGCCAGGGCTATATTTTTCTTTAGAAACTTATTTTGTCATGATATTGAGAGAAGCAAATGCACTTTTCTACTCCCTTTGCCAAAGGAGGAAAGTGCCATGCTGCAAAATGGAAATTAAAACAGCAAGAGACAAACATCTCACCTTTCTGGAAGGTGACATCCAACTTGCAGAGATAGGGTGGAAGTTCCTTAAAAATAAAAAGGAATGGAACAATCAATTCAAATACAGGGATATAATCATGACCCTCCTCCCAAGAGACAAAAAAAAATCATAATTCATAAGCAACTTATCTCCTCATCCAAAAAACTGATTTAGTAGCACCATTTTCAGTATTAATTGAACTATTTGGCATTCTTAGATTTGTATCACCTGTAGTTGAACAATGCAAAACGTTCCCAGATGTCTGAGAATTCTGAAAATTCCACAGCTGAGGCAGGGAGAGTTCCTCTCCCAGTTTTCTCACTAAAAAACTGGTCACACCAGGAAGAGCTTTTGTCACTCTGCCATCAGTGTGACAAAAGATCCCAGCTCCAGAGCCATTCACCCAAGCTGATACTGGAGGAGTAAATCACCCTCTGGAATGTGCCAGGTGTGATCTTCTGACTGCACAGGGAGTTCAGTGAGGGTGGTTTAGGTTAGGGGTGGGTTTTTTGGTTGAGTTTTTTATTGAGATGAATTCTCCCTTTTGGTTTTGGGCACCAGGCACACACAGAGCCCCCTGCCCACCCCACAAATGCATTTTTCAACACGCCCCCCAGCCCATTTTCTCCTCAACTCACCGAGTATTTGAGGTCAGATATGTTGACATCAACTCCTGTTGATCTCTTCAGGTTCTCATCATGGGACACAACCACTTGCTCATCTTTTGTCAGGTGACAATCCAGCTCCAACATGTCTGTCCCCAAATTAACCGCGCTGCAAGGAAAGGCTGCCCTGAACCACTCAGGTGCTTTGTGCAGCTCCAAACCCAACACATCCCATAAACCAACCCCAGTGGAACCTTTGGATGCTTTAATGGTGCAAGACATCCTCACAGTCCTGCTGCAAGGCAAGGAGCAAACAGGAATCCTCACCATCTCTGCTGCAGTGGGAAGCAGATATAACAAGAAAAAAACAAAAAATCTTGAAGCAGAGATGAGATTTTTGGCTCTGTCTCCCACAGGAATTGGGAAGCTCACCTGTGGATTGCAGCCTGCCACCCCAGGATTGAGCAACCTGCTCCTAAAGGATGGGGTAAGGATTTGGAGTGGGGTGTTTATGAGCAGCAGCACATCTGCCCACAGCAGGAAGTGAGGTTTGATAAAAGAAATTAAATTTGTGGTTAGAAACAACAAATGACAGGGGTGTGAAAGCTGGGTTTTTTTACTTTATTTACATTAATCAGGAAGGGACTGATCAAGAAATTAGCAGTGGGACTTTCAGGCTTTTGGCTGTTTTATTGGGTAGCAAAACAACCTTAAACTATTATTTTAATGAAAAAGTTTTAATTTAAATTAAAAAGGAAATAAACCACTAAACATCCAGTCATATTTTTCAAAGCAAAATAACTATTCCTGTTCCAGCCAACTGCTTTGAAGAGCTCTAATCCAATCCCAAATCCACTCCATAGTAGTTTGGCTCATAGGAGGAGTAAGGAAAGCAAAAAGTAATGGAAAATAAGAACAAGAAACCTCACATCAGGAAAAAAAAAAAAAAAAAAAAAAGCTTTACTGCAATGAGCAGTGAAATGCTCATTTAACTAGAAAAGAGGTACATTCCAGCAGACAGATAAAAGTCTGAACTCTTCCTTCAAAACCTTTTTATCCCCTCTGAGCAAACCAACACCACCTGTGAGCTGAGCCTACCTGAGACCCAAAGGTCTGTAAATTCAGTACCAGCCTTTTCCTTATGGGCTTTATTGGCTGCTGAACACAGCCCATGAACATCCACTAGTGCAGTAACAAACAAAAAAATAAATCAGAACACACTCCCCAAAGTGTTTAACACAATTTGTGGTCCAGCTGGGATAATGACCAAGGAGGGCTGTCAAATTAAAGCCAATTTGTGAACTGTTTGCCAGTGCTGCTAATTAAGAATTAGGAGAGGAACAAAATCCTGTTACATATGGAAGAATCACAGGCTGTACTGGGTGAATTTTTCCTCCTGAGGGAAAGCAACTCCAAATCTGCTGCAGGAGATTTGCCAAATCTGTAGATGTTCCCATGTTTTAGCCTTTCACCAGCAGATTTTATCAGCAATATTTCTTGCTGAAGAAAATCAGGGCTGATGCTGCATGGAAAGAGGAGAACAACAACTTTCCTTGTTAACAAAATTGAGACTTTGCCAGGCCCTTACAAGCAGCTCACTGCTAAATAAGCTTCCTCAAGTGCTGAGCTTTCCCAGCTGGAAATCAGTTTGTTCTGTCAAATTCACACTGCTCCAGAGAAGGCTCCAGAGTCAGAACATCATTGTGGATTCAGATCCAACTGCTCCAGAACTCAAGCTGTGAGATAGGCTCACATTTGCAAATTAGGGTGAGAGTGCTCCTGCTTAAAATCTGTTGTTTTAGAATCTAAAACCACCACAGAAGCATTTAAATACGGTAGGACAAGATTATAGCCCCCCCATCTATTATGCATCTTACCCAATTAAAAAAACTAAAAAAAAATATTGTCTTTGGTACAAAAAGCTTCTAATTTCCTTCCAGAATATTTGTAAATTAAGCAGTATAGAAACTGAAATTGCCAATAAAGGTCTCCTCCCCCCATACACACACTCTCTTTTGAATTCAACTACAGCAACAGGCAAATATTGCTGCTTGTGCAAACCTGCAGGAACAGCTCCTGCAGACACACCCTGTCTGGCTTCACACAGAATCTGATGGATTATAAATTGATCAGCTCTTATCAGCTCTGTGAGTCAATCCTGACCATTTTGCACCAGCCAGATCACTGATTTTCTACCCCATTCCTTTTGCTGCTTTACTTGTGAAGATGGGAATGAACAAATAGGATGGACAAAGCCTTTAGCCCTTCCCAAAAGGAGCCAGGAGAGTTTCCAGTCCTAACAGGAGGTAATTGCTCTGCTTCCTGCAGAGCTACCCTGGCTCTCTTTACTCAGATGAACTTTGCTATTGGCAGCTGTTGTGGGTTCAAAAACTGGACCTCAATGCATTTTTCCCACCACAGCTGTAAAATAATTAAAATGGGTGGAAGAGAGTCAGCAAAACATTATCACAAAATGTATTACCCTCAGCACAGTCCTTACTCTAAGTATTACTGCTTATTTCTGGGAATAAAATAAAAATAGATTATGGAATAACTTCCATTGCAAGAGCCCTTCGTGAATGATTATGATATGAAAATTAAGAACGATTATGATATGAAATGAAAATTAAGAAATGGTTAAAAAAAAAGGGAAGAAGCACTTTCAGAAAGTCTGGTAGCAGACTTGAAAAAAGGCAGGCCAGCAGGAAAAAACCACAAAACAAAAAGCCACACAAAACTATGCTGAGCTTCCATGGAGATAGAAAATAGTGCAGTACTTTCTTTTATTTGGTTGGGAAAGCTGGCACTCCTCAGGCTGCAGGGAAACAGCAAACTGATGAGGCTCCTTAGCACAAAGCAAATTAGAAAAGCCCCAAACAAAACAAAGAGGAGCCCACATGATGTGGTCCCTTCTCAGCAGCAGCTGGAGTTTTAGATATGTTTCTTCTTCAAATGCCTTTGAGAACCTTGTTAAAATTCACTACTTAAATGCTGGAGGCTTAAAAGGCTTTCTGGTCCCAACCCCATTTTAAACCCTGAGTAAGAGGCTTTCACACATTATGATTGCAGCCTGTGAGTGCAGGAAAAAAACATAAACAGCAGCATTTTCTGCTTTATAGTGATTAATTAATTAATAGAAGGAATCACCATTGAGCACAGTATTGTTTGCTGTTTTACTGGCTAGCACAGCTCGGGCCTCAGGGTTTGCTTCCATTTGTTACTATGCACAGATCATAATTTGTGGTATCCCAACTGCTTCTGGTGAAACTGGAGTGGATGTTTGGCAATCCACAGGAGTTATCCAGAGGAGAGATGACTTTCAGAAACAGGACACTGTGACCCCAAAGAACTGATGAAGTCCCACCTCCCTTGGTTGCTTCACTCACTAAAGACACTGAGAACACCAATTTAGATATTCTCATCCTTCTGTACTCACTGGTGAAAGGCTGCCATTGTGTTCTCCAGGTTCTCTCCAGCACCTACAGAAACAACAGAAATAAAACTTAGACAAAATAATTTTCCTCCCCTCAATCCCACTGAAAATATAATTAAAAACTAGCAGGTTTTAAAATCTACATATTTTGAGAAATGAGGATGAAGCTCAAGGCAGAAATCTTTGTTGCCACCAATGTCCTGGAGAGACACGACCTTCTCCAAGGAAAATGATTTTTAAAAACTTATCTTGGATTTGTGTAACCCTTAGAATATTCAAACCAAAGCATTTGTTTTACCAGAGGTATTTAGCTAGGACAATAAGCCTCACAGGCCTAGGGAAAGTACATGCAAAAATGTATTTGAGAGTTGGTGGGAAGAGTAACAAGAGAAAAAAAAATAACAAAAAGCTATGAATGAAAGCACCCAAGACATTGTAAAGCTGACACTCCCTAAATGTAAAACCCAGCTGGGGTGAAATAGGTGACAGCCTCTTTGTTCAGTGCAAGGATATTCCCTAAACAGCACAGATTTGTCAATAAAGGTTTGTGCTGCAGGAGAAGGGAAGTCTCACACACAAGGAATGAAACACACACCGTTTTCAGTTAAGAAGTGAAAGGACAAGCAAATTTCATTTTCTCTCAGGCAGGATTAAACTCTGCAACTCCTAAGCCAGCAATCTCTGCATAAAAATCTTTGAAAATCAGCCTGATTAGGGACTGGAAAAGGTTGTGCCTTTTTCAACCTCTTTCTGAGGTTGTGCCTCAGAAAACAGGCAATATTACAGACTGAGAAACAAAACAACCTCAGGAGGATACACGTGCTGATGAAGATATCTATGCAAATTTCAACTGCTCTCTGACAGTAATGAATGACAGACTTGGTAAACAGCAATTATAAGAGCTCCAATTAAGGCCTTGCCTATTAACAAGACCTCACCACGACATACTTACCTAAACCTGTGTTCAGTTACTTTAATTAAAGCAATGCACAACCACCAATTTAAAATTGTTGTTCTCGGGCAGGTTTACAAAATGGAAGACTTAATTTAGAACCATGATGACAAAAATCTGCAGGGTTTAATGTAAAACAACATGGTGAGTCCACAGCAGCTTCTGTGATCAGACATTCACCAACATTTTATGGGATTTGATTGCAGAACTGGGAGTTGGCTGAGTAGCAAAAGTGAACCAAGGGAAAAAGGAGGGCATGAGAACCTCAAGGTACCCATCTGGTGATTGCCTAACAAATGGGAATCCCCTGCACAGGGCCTGGCTGATGAATTACAAATTAACTGCAATAATAATTGAGGTTTTAGATAGCTTATCAGCTGGGGCAATCCAGCCCATACATCCTGAACGGTGAGGGAAGGGCCAAAACACCTGAGTCAAGCCTTCAATTTGTGAACAAAGCAAGAGTGTCCTAACACTCCTGGGCAGAAAATTCCAAAAATAAAACTTTTAAGTGGCTGATCTGACAAATCATGTGGCAGGGAGGTGGTCAAGGGCCAGGGATAGTGAGTCAAATGCCTGACTTGTAGAATTTTGGGGGAAATGAGAAACAAAGTTGAGAGATCAGCTGAAAGAGGAATTCTAAATCAGCAACCCCATGCAGAAAAGGGAACTACACAAGTTATTGGATTAAAGTAATTGTCTCCCAGAAAAGTGAGAAGGCTGGGCTGACCAAAGGGCTTCTGACACTTCCTCAAACACCCCTCCAGCTTCGTGGGCTCATTCCCTACGAGGAACAGACCTTCCCCAGCCAAAATGGCACATCCAGACATCAGGAGAGCACATTCCCACTCTGCAAGCACCACCAGGGCCAACAGGGAGCCAACACCAAGCCCTGCCTCAAGGAGATGACCCTCAGAAGGTTTTGGGGCCAGCAGGTCAAGGGAGGTGATTGCTCCCCTCTGTTCAGCATTGGTGAAGCCACACCTGGAGCACCACATCCAGTTCTGGGCTCTAAAACAGAAGACTGACATGGATCAACCAGAGCAAGTCCAAGGAAGGGCTGTGAAAATTAAGGGATGAGAGAGTCTCGTGTACAATGAGAGGCTGAGGGTGCTGGAATTGTTTTGTCTGGGGAACAGAGGCTGGGGAGGATCCTACAGGTGTAAATACTGGATGGGAGTAAAGACTCAGCCAAACTCTTCTTAGTGGTGCCCAGGGAAAGGACAAGAGGAATGGGAACAGGTTTAAATGCAGGAAATTCAGTTTATAAATGTAAGAAAATCCCCCTTTTTTGTTGCAAGAGTGGCAAACTTTGGAACAGGCTCCCTGGAGAGGTTGTGGAGACTCCATCCCCAGATGTATTCAAAACCTAACCGGACCAGGTCCTGGTTAACCTGCTCTGGTCAGACACAATCTCCAGAAGTCCCTTCCAATCTGAATTATTCTGTTTAAAAATCATCATGCCACGCTCTCTCAGAGACCCTGCAACCCAGGGCTGCTGGCATTGACAGAGGATTCCAACACAGAATATCAAGACTCAATAACTGCTCTCAGAAATGACAAATTTTAAAATTATGCAGACGTGAAGAAATAATTCAGAGATGATTTTACAAAATGAGGTGACAAAATTCTTGAAAGAAAAGGCAAGATAAATCAAGCCCCTCAGACTTAAAAACTTCACTGTACAAGGTTTCATCCCAGAGAGGAAAAAGCCAAACAAGTCAAGCGTTACCTTGATCTCCCAAGCTAATTGGAGTAATGCAATAGGAAACCTGACACTGAGTCTAAAGCTACAGCATGACTAAAGCCCGAGAACTCAAGTCCCGCAGGAATTTATGTTACAGGGTAAACACCAAAGAGAGCAAAGCACGAGTGATCTTCAGCCTCCGATGGGCAAAAAGCTGCTGCAACGTTCAGGGCTGCCCTCCTGCCTCAGGTGCATTTCACAGGAACAATTCACAGATCGTGGACTTTGAACGCCTGGGGAATAATCCTCCCTTAAGCGAGGCTTTCCTGCTGTTCCGACGGGGCTTAGAGCAACTGGCCCAAGCCCTCGCATTCCAGGCTTAGGGCTGCGTGTCTTAACTAAGGCGCTTGCAAAGGAGTGAGAACAGAAGATTAACGGGATCATACCAAGTTGCAACAAAGTCGCCTGCAAGTTTTTAACAGCTTACAAACCAAACTAGGAAAACCTTAAAATTAAGAACCTTTTCTTTTGCTGAAGGGAAAACATAAATACCAAACAACAGATACAGTTAGTCCACATAAAGAGCTACATTTTATGCTATATTTAAAGCTATAGTTACAAAGAAATTTAAACTGCCAAATAAACTAAATCAAAGAAGTGCCAGGAATAAAATCATTAAGAGATTAGCTCCAGTTTTTATATTTTGACAATTCAAGGCAGCAGCATTTGTTAAGGACCATTGGCTCAATCCCTGCATAAAGTGGCACAAAGTATGATATTGAAAACTGTTTAAACTCAGCACCAGACATCTCTCACACAGAATATCAAAAAATATTTACTAGCAAACTACCTATTTTCCAAAAATTAGGTGAGGCAGCAGGGAAGAAAACAAAGCTGATCTCTACAGAACAGGAAGACACACCTCGCTGCATTTTCCCCCTCCCAATGCTTTGGAATAGGTAGGAGAAACTTAAAAGCCTATTTTAGACAGAATCAACATGCCCGACTTTTAAATGCAAGAGGGTTTTACCAGGGCACTGAGCCATTCACTGTCTGCCTGCAATACCGAGGGGAACAAGAACAGAGTCACAGCAAATTTTGCTTCTCCTGAAAGCAGAAAGCAAAGCAAACAGGAGGTCAGAGGCAAGAAAATTGCTCTCTTGTACCTGACCTAAGCAACAGCCAGACGCCCATCTGGCTGGGGAGAGAAATACCAGGATACAGAATCGTCAGAAGAAAAATAATAATTAAAAAAAAAAAAAATACAGACGTGTTTGAGGGGGGAAACATCACGCCCCACCAAAAAAAAAAAAAAAAAAAAAAAAAAAGCTGATTTTAGACTGGCGCGGCTGGACTTCGGAGATTAATTCCGCGCTGAACCGAGGCACTGGTCAGCAGGTGGCACCTAAAATTAGGCCGAGGGAGGAAGGTTTAAAGGGAGCCCGCTGCAAGCCACGGACACCGCGCAGTCCCTCACGAGCCTCCCGTGCCCGGGGTCGTGAGGGAGCATCGCCCGCGGGCCGCGGAGCCCCGAGCGCCCAGAGCCGGGCGGGGACCGTCCCTTAGGAGCGGCAGAGAGCAGAAAGGCTCCCGCATGCCCTGCCCTCCCTCCCTCCCCGCACCCCCTCACTCACCGCCGCGGTGCGAGATGTGCCGGCAGCGAAAGCGCTGCCGCTTGGGCCGGTGGAGCAGCCCCGGGCACTTGAGGAGAAGCGCGGAGGTGAGGACGTATCCACCTATCGTGGAGAGCACGTAGAGCGCGGCCGACATCCTGCGCCTGTCACCGGCTGCCCCGGCCCGTCCTGCCGCGGTCTCTGTCCCTGTCCCAGCCCGCAGCCGGCTCGCGGCGAGGCGGAGCCGCTGCGGGACGCGGAGGTTCCGAGGCAGCGGCGGCTCTGAGGGAGCGCAGCCTCTGCGCCCGCGCAGCCGCCCCGGCGCCGCGAGGAGCGCAGCGCGCAGGCGCGGCGGCCCCGCGCCCTTCTTCCCTTCCCGCCCGGCCGTGAGGGGCTGCCCGCAGCCGCCGCTGCTTCACAATGGCTCTGGGGGTAATTCCCAATTATACGATTTAATTCCCAACCGCGCCGTGCCGGCTTTCTGCTCGCAAGTGGAGGGATGTGTTTTCCACACCCCCGCCCAGCGCCCGCCTCATGGGCGGGGCTGTCACGGTCAAAAACCACTTCGTAAGTGCTGTGGGGTAATTCTCAATTACACGCTTTTATTATTATTATGCCGGCTCTCCCCTCACAGGTGGAAGGATGCATTCCCCATACCCAGCCCCTCAGAGACGTCGTATTCCCAAGGAAGGGATGTGTTTTCCTTCACTCAGCCCCTCAGACCTGCCATGTTCCAAACGGGAGGGAAGCGCTTTCCTCACACAGCCCCTCAGAGGTCATAAAACCATAGAACAGCTGGGTTGGATCTTTAGAAATCACCTAGTCCAGCCCCTTATGTCGTATTCCAAACAGGAGGGATGCATTTTCCACACCCAACCCCTCAGAGATGTCACATTCCAAACGCAGGGATGTGTTTTCTTCATCCATTCCCTCAGCGATGTCACATTCCGAATGGGAGGGACACATTCCCCACATCCAGAGATCACAGAGCCATGGAATGCTTGGAAAGGATCTTTAAAGACCATCTAACCCAAGCCTTAATGCTGTATTCCACAGGAAGGGATGTCGTTTCCTCACCCAGCCCCTCACAGATATATTCTGAGCAGAAACCAGGTCTCAGCTCCGGTCATGCACTTTAATTACTGTACTATAGCAAACTGGCAAATTAAATTTTGTGTGCATTCTAATTAGAAACAAATATTCCAGAAATTAAATTAGGTCTCAGCATACAGCCTTACATCTTACCTCAGTTAAAAGTTGATTTACTGTGGCTGATTTTTTGGCACTGAGAGTCACTTGATACAGGTGAGTACAGTTTCTGGCTTTGCTGTTAATACACATCAGAACTGCAGTTATCTTTTTTTTTCAAGACAACGATTTCTCCTATCATCACATTAAAAGCATCATTTACATACAAATAGCTTGTTCAGAAAAAGGAAATATTTTGCTCGTTATTGCCTCAATACGACAAAGTAAACTCTTGATTTCAGGCAGTGCTAATTTTTTAATATTCCTAAACAGCTATATAAAAGACAGGATGGGGAAAAGCACTGTCATCAAAACATCTAGTAATACAGGATCAGCACTTTATGAAAACCAGCTTTTATTTTTTACATATGAAAACTTAATAAATGGAAAATTTACATGTCTCAGATCCCTTTTCCTGCTTTGATATCAACTTTATTTCCAATCTGACCGCGTTCCAGTGAAATACAGTGGAGGTTTCACACAATTGCAGTGACAACTGTTGGGTAACCAAAACCCATGAGCTGGATTGAAGACAGCCTTCTTAAACTCAGACAGAGATACCCAAAACCATTCTTATTGTGTGATTGCTTTCAGTATTCCTCTGAGAACTTTGTAGCTCATTAACTGTTGGCTCTCTTTGGGAGGGAAGCAGGGCCCCCGTTCTGTCACGTAGGCGTAGGGAAACCTCAGCACCCAGAGTCCATCCGAGGGAAGGGTGATTTCCTGCTTCTCAGGGTAAAATATAGGACAGGGTGGTGGTCCCGGTTGAACCTAAAGGCAAAAGAAAACATGAGTAGGTAATCAAACATCACTACTACCTTATAAAGTACTAAAATGCAAATGGAGTTTTTTCAAATGAGTATTAAAATAAAAATGGAAGAAAAGGTGAAGAATTATCCAATTCAGAGAACCAACAATTTTTTCACCTCTTAAATTCAAATTGTAACTAATAATAATTGAGCAATGAGTCACTGCTTGTCTATGACATTTAAAATGACAAAGTCATTCTTGAAAGGTCATTGTTAGCTGTTTTTTTTTTTTTTTTAATAAAGGCCATTATTACAGCAGGGAATGCCAATAATTCATCCTCGATAAATTATTTTTGCAAAAAAAAATTTGTACTCTATACAAAGCATAAACTTATATACTTTTTACTTTATTCAAAGTATAAATTTGGCACCTTGAAGTTTATGAAATCCCAAGTGCTTATGTAAATGATACTTTTGGAAAAGACTGTCTTGGCTGAAGTTGGTTTGAGTTGGAGTTTCTTGACACCCTTGTGAATTAATGTTTCCCCAGCCACCCCTGCCCCTGCTGTTCCCAGATTCCCTCCTGCACTTCCCACCTGAGGCGTCAAGGTGATCTGCAGAGGAGCATCAGGAACCACCACGAAGAGCCTCATGAACTGGGCGTAGTGGGGCTTGAGGCCGCGTCCCTGCGTGGAGGACAGGATGTAGAGGGGCATGTCGGAGTTGAGGGCTTTCAGGGCAGACTCCTTCGGCCCCCCTCCCATCACCTTCATCACCTTATCAGGCCCTGAGCACATGAACCTCCTGCCACGTGCATCTTCATATTCAAAGCCCACAAAAGCCCGAGCGATGTCGTCCCTCCGCCGGCCCCTGCCCATCACCACGGCGCTCCTTTTCCCAGGGACAGCCTTGTTGGGTGCAGGCCAGGAATTGGTGTCTAAGTCTCCTTCATCTTCAGTTCTCGTCCTGATGACAATGTCCCAAGGCATTAAATAGTTTGTTCCTGGGATAAAGCCCTGTTGATCTAAGCCTGTGTGGAAGTTGTAAGCCTTAGCAGGGCCCAGCTTGACCAGTGACCAGCTGGAGAATTTGGGCAGAAGGCCTTTGGGGCAGTTGGAATGGAGCATCCCGGGGAGGTACTCGACAGTGGACGCCTGGCGATCCACCAGGCTCGGCCTCTTCTCGCTCTTGGAGTCCCCGCTCTGCCCGTGGCTTTCTGCATTGTCCCCTCCACCCTGGGCATCGGCTGGGTAAGTGCCCAGGCTGCCTGTGGACTGGCCCAGGCTCAGGGCTAAGCTCAGGCCTGTGCTCTCTCCCTGAGTCTGAGGTTCTTTCTCTTTGAGTTTCTCGATCTCGCCTTCCGGAGGGGCAGGAGATGCCTCGTCCCGAGCAGGCGCCGGGTCAGGTGTGCTTGGCTGAAATATGGGGAAGTTGATGTGCTCCAGTTTTCCACAGCACTTCTCTTCCAGCAACTGTGAGAAAGAAAAGGTGGTTTAGTAGCCACCCTTAGATGAGGAAGCTCAGAGCCACAACATTCAGCAGCTATAATTAAGATTCAAGAGGCTTGCACCACGTGAGAACCAAAGCAGCGATGGGAACGTGGCCCACAGACCTGATTATTTAAAATTCACATGGACCAACACATTCAAAGTGTAAACAGGTGCATTAACTGGTGCTCCTGTGTGTGTGGTAAAGACTGGAACTGCCCAGCCTGGTACAGCCCATTTCTGCTCCCAGAAATGTCTCCCCCAAGCAAAACGTTGGTAAGGTTAAGAGGAAACTTGTGGTCACTTCAGAATACAGACTCTGCAGATGAAACAAAAGCACTGCTTGAAGCACCAAGAGACCTAACAGTTACCTGGTAAAAGTCATAATTAGCTGCTTTGATATCAAAGGGGTCCTCCCGAGGAGCTTGTTTCCTTCCACAGTTACAGGCACCAGTGGAACGAGCCCGGCTGTTGTGGTACAGAATTGGAGGATTTCTGTCTGCTTCTGGCTTTTCCCCTAAAAGCAAAATCAATCAAAACTTGGGCAAATTGCTCACCATTCAAAACATTCTTTATTCCCTTCATCCATTGCTCCCTCCCTGCTACTGACAAATACAAAATGTTTGTCAAGCAACTCCTCCCTTCCCCACTTTTAATAATGCAAAGTTCCAGTGGAGGTTATACCACTAAACCAAACCTTACTTGTTTTCACAACCTCTTCCTGAAGGCTCAAAGTTCTTCTGCCTGCAATAAACTTGCAGAAGTCAGTTTTGACTCCCTGATCAACCAGGTTATTTAAAACAAAGGGGGATGCTTATGCTTTTTAGAGAATTTTGGTCTTACACTCCTCTCATCAGAAGTACTCCAGTGTAATTGCTTTTAGCTAGTAAGACAGAATCAGAGTTACCACTAAAATCAGAAAATCAGAGTAAGCGTTACTACTAACAGTGGACTGGCTCCTGAACTCTATATAAAGGAAACCTGCACAGCAGCTCAGCTATGACCCCACTGTAGAGATGATCACAGAATCATTTGGGGTGGAAAAGACCTCTGAGATCATCGAGTCCAACCTTTGCCTGGTCATCACCTTGTCAATTAGAGCACAGCACTGAGTGCCACATCCAGTCCTTGAACACCACGCTTTAAAGCTGCAAACTTTCACCTCCTACATTTCAGAGGTGGTACTTTCAGCCCAAGCATTTTAAAGTAAGATAAACCATGAAACCAAAGCACAAGTGAGCATCTTTACCTGCTTTAGGGAGCAGATGGAACTTGTGCACGCAGTGCTGGTCGGTCAAGCTCCGCTCCTCGCAGAGCTGGTGCCCGTTGCTCCAGAACTTGTAGCAGTCCTCGTTGAGCTGCATGGCGTATTTGTGGAAGGCTGGGCCCCGGGCGTGCTGGCTGTACACGCGCAGGGCCTGGGCCAGCTGGTTCTTGTGCACTGTCATGGTGTAATTGTGGGGCAGGTTGGACTGGTAGGCGCTGTGGGCCATGGGCAGAGCCTTCTGGCAACGGTTTTCGGAGAACTTGGTGTCTATGTCTAAGTAGCCTTCCAAAACTTTGATGCTGCTCATGATTTTTGAGCTCAGCTCGCCACAGGTCGGGTCATCGTCTTTGCCTTCAATGGTCACTTCATAGAGTTTTAGAGCAGCTGCCACCCACTTCTGGTAGGTCGGGAGCTCAAAGTGAGACGGCTGAGGGTTCCTCCCCACGCTGTCTTCAAAGCCCTTCTTGCTGAGCACCAACTCCACGTGCTGCCACAAGAACTCCTTGAGGGTGCAGTCCACAAGCTGCCCGGAGGAGCTGGAGCTGGAGCTGCTACTCTCTGCGTGGAAGGAGAGCTGCTGCCGGCCGTGCCTCATCATCTGATACCTCCTGGGTCCCGACAGGGTGGGAGCCAGCAGAGAGTCAGTCTCTCTCATGGTGCAGTTGCTCCTGAGCTGGTCGAGAAGCATGGCCACAGGATCGTCTCCCTCCTGGGGCCCACCAGCCACGATGTACACGAAAGCCTGGTTGGCAGGCACGGTGAAAAGGCAGTTGATGCTCTGGTTGGTCAGCACCCGGCTCTTGCGGAAGATGCGGTAGATCTGATCCTCCAGAGCGTGCTGCAGCCTCCTCTTGGGGGAATGCTTCTTGGGGGGTGGCTTTTCCAGGTGACCGCAGGGATCCTGACCCCTGCTGGGCAGCGGATCCACCTTCAGAGCCCCGTTGAGCTGGAAGAGGAAGAGGAGGCGTGGAGGGCATGGCCTGCAGTTGAGCTTCCACTCCTTGCCGACAGGACAGTCCTTGATGGCAGCCTTCAGGGAGGGCAGCACCTTCTGCCGCAGCCCGTCCAGCGCCCTGAACACGCGGTCGTAGGTGATGTCGAAGGAGCAGGTGGGATGCACCAGCAGCAGGATGTGGCACACGGAGAACAGGTATAGGAGGCTCAGGCAGTGCAGCTTCTCCTGGTGCTTCCAGAACTCGTGAGCCTCGGCGTGGGGCAGCGGGGCAGGGCCTCCGGAGGGATGGCCGGGCCCTGCCTCTCTGTTCTCGGCCGCCGCCAGGTCCCCGCAGGCGCGCAGCAGCTGCGGCGTGTCGCAGATGGAGGTGAGCACCAGGTACAGCACGCGGCTCTCCTGGCTGTAGTACGCCTGCAGATGGTTGTAATCCTTGGTGGCCGGATCGCCCTCCTGCCCCGCGGCTCCATCCGCCAGCTCGGGATCCTCCTCCGGGAAGAGCGGGAACACCTGCCGGTCGCACACGGTGCTCACCAGGGCCTCCTTCTCGGAGCAGAGCTGCAGCGCGGTTTTGCCGAAGATGCCCACCACGCACACCTCCTCCTCGCCGCCCGCCGCGCCGCCCGCCTCGGCCGCCAGCAGCAGCTCCCGCAGGCTCATGGGCCCCACGGCCGTGCCCATGGCCCCGGGCGGCCCGGCCCCGGGCAGCGGCATCTCCCGGCCCCGCTCCCCGCCGGAAGCGGCGGAGCCCCGGCCCCGGCCCCGCGCATGAGCGGCTCCGCCCCGGAGGGCGCGGACACGGGCACGGGGCGGGCAGAACAGCGGCGGAGGTGGCAGCGAGCACCGCTGTCCCCATCGCCCCCGAGGGTCCGGTGTGCACGGCTGTGAGCGCCCCCGCGGACCGTGCCCGGATACCGGGCAGGGCTGTGCCACCGCTCTGCCCCGGTCCTGAGCTGAGCCGCGGGACACGCACAAGCTCTGCCCATCCCGTGGACCGTGCTTGCAAGGAGGCTTTGAGTTCCTCGCCTTTAATCGTGATCAGCCGGTGATACACAGTGCAAGGGCCTCTTACATTTGTAGCCACAGACTCGAACTGTTTGTTGAAGCTTACAGCACTTTAATATTAGTGCGTTCAACTGTTGTTTTTCTTTGAAACTGTACAAATACCGTCAAGATGTTTTTTGTTTAAAAAAAAGATACAAAAATACTGAATTTCAGCAAACACATATTTGTATGACAAGCAGCACCAGTGCTAGAAACATAACAGTCCTTGCTTCAGCAGCACCCAGATGTCAAAAGACTTGGGAAATTTCCTATTTTTTTTCCATTATGAATGAAGATGCAACCAAATTGAGAGACATTAGAGAGGGATAAAAAGCACAATCTGCTTTACAGGGTTTCATAATGCCTTATTTTCCTGTGCATTACATTTACTTACAAATACATGTGCCTGAGTGTGATAAAAATGGGATTCAAGTGGCTTCCTGAGTACAAATGGAAAATTGTTCCATAAACCTACTTTCCTTTTTACTTTTCATCAAAGCTGTTTGCAGCACTCAGCCGTGCAGGCGAGGGACTCTTGGGGTGAGCCATCTGTCAAAAGAAGGGAAGGGTCAGAACTTGGATATCTGAGCTCATTATCACTGAGATGAAACAGTGCAATTCTTAGCTGGCACCTTAAAACAGACACAACAAATCAGTAAAATAAAAGATGCTATTAACCCTCACATTTTGTCCTTCTGCAAAGTGGAACTATGACTTTGAAAGTTGCATTGAAGCACCAAAAAAGCAATTTTTCTTCTTGGGATTGTCAAATAACCTGCCAGAATGGCATGTCCATTCTGCAGTGCTCTTAGATCAGTAGGGAATTCTGTGACTTTAAAGCCACTTTCTGATTCCAAGAAGAGGGACAGAGTGACTTGCCTGAAATTTGCGCCGCAGTGCCCGTGTCATTATTGGGGTCAGCCCAGAGCCACATTCAGTGTTTTCTTTACTATTTAGAGGAGTGCCACCAGGACTTCTGAAAGGGCAATTATGATCAGTTTGATTGGTTCTCTAGTTTTTCTAGATTAAAAAACAGAATGAAAGAGAACAGAAAAGAACAGACCTTTGTATATCGACTTTCTTCAGATGCTTCCGAAGATCAATCTGATTTTTAGGGGAGGTACTAAGAGGAAAAAAAAGAAATTGGTACAATAAAATGTTTCCTACTCAGTAAAAAACATTAATCACTGTTTAAAACAGAAAAATCTAGTATCTAATCAAGGAAGAAAACATCTTACATTACAGATTTTGTAGCAGGAGGTGATGGCTTGGATTTAGGTCTCAGATTAACACTCTGTAGATCTGTGACTGTAATTAATGCCCTGCGTGGCTTCACTGGTGATTGCTCCTACAGCAAGGAAAGAAATGTTACCCCAGATAAAACTTCAGAAGGTCTCACTACCCTGAAATCCATTTAATATTTCATAAATCTGAAAGATTTTTGTGGTTTATGGCTTTTATGCTTTTAAAAAATTATTAAGATTTGAACATGCCTTGGATAAAAATATATTTATTTAGGAAAAAAACAACAACAAAACCAACCTAAACAAGAGGGTTTTTTTCTGCAAACAAAGTTCCAGCTGGCCAAAAGGAAGTCCAAAAAATCTACTGATAACACACAAAGCTGCATGGAAGCTTCATGGCCTTAATGTAAAATTAGAGCTGTCCTGAGTGCCAGGTGAAATTGGAGTTTGTTACTTTATATTTCTTCCCTTTCAATGCCCAGGTGCAGAATTAGAATGGTCACTTGAAACTGATCACTGGATAAGAATCAATTTATCAAAAAAAGAGCAGGAAATACAGCACTTCCAGGGTGGATTTTCCCTTGATTCAGCCTCCAGTTTACCTTGTCCATTCTCAGGTTGCTGTTTGTCTTCTTCAGTTTAACATTCAGGAGGTCTTTGAGGGTGATGTGCATGGGCCCATCCTTTTTCACTGGTGGTGCCTGAAAGCAAAGGGGTTTGGAAGGGAAATGAGGAAGGGAAAGTGACTGAGCACTCACAGAGAGTGATGTGCTGAGGAATCCACATCCAAAAGGAACTCAGGAAATAAAAAACAGAGGAACCTTCTGATTCCCTACCAGTTTAGAGGCTGTGCCCCGTTGGAGGAGGAGAGGTGCTGGAGGCAGCTTTGGTGGAGGCAGCGGCGGTGGAGGAGGAGGAGGAGGAAGAGGAGGAGGAGGGGGGATGGACACAGGCACAGATGCTGAGGATGGAGGATCCATCTGTGTCCCCACAGGAGCACCCAGGACTGGCTTGTGACACCTTTGGCAAAGGGAACTTTCTGAAGACAAAGCTGCTGCTCCGTTCATCTGAAAGCGACAGAAATAAATAAAGAGAACATTAAATCCACCAGCAGAAGCAGGTGGGATTTTAGAGAACAAAGGTGCTGGCTAAGGTTGAGCTGTAAAGATAGAAACCTTCCTGCTGTGAGAGAGCAGCAGTTCTGCAGCTCTGAGTGCAGAGGATGCCCCTGAGGAGCTGCTCAGACCTCAGTGGATCTGCACTGAGCACAATTCCTCATCCCAATGTCACCCTGCCCCAGCTGGACTGACACTGACCTGGAGGGCTCCTTGTAGCTTGGAGAATTCCCTTTCCAACTTCTCCAGCTTCTCCCTGAATGCATTTAGTTCCCTTAAGTAGATTTGTGATGGAAATATGGTGTCTTTAACCACCTGAAAGCTCTAAGCATAAAAAGAAAGCAGATTATGTGTATTTGTGTGTTGATTTTCTTCAGATATTTCTGAAGATCCATCTGATTTTTAGGAGGGGTGCTAACAGAACAAAAGAAATTGGTACAGTAAAATAATTCCCACTCAGTAAACAGCATTAATCCCAGTTTAAAACAGAAAAATCTAATATCAAAGAAAGGACATACCTGTGCAATCCTGCTCTGGCACCACCAATACAGAAATGATGCTGCTGTTGCCAAGGGTCTGACCACACTTTTTACACTGGGCAAGGCTAAAGGCCACTGGGAGCACCTTGGGGCTGGTGAGGAGTTCAGAGGGAGATGAGCTGGTGACCTGCAACAGAACAAGGCCAGAATTTTATTTATCATCTCAACCTTTAAAACAGTGAACTGTGACCAATCATGTGGAAATTACAAGCAGGAACCAGCAGGTAACAACAGAGCAAATGTGATCACAGAAAGCTGGAAAGGCCAAGATACATTTTAGTAAAGGATGGGGGAAATCCTATTGGAAATACTTTTTTATTCAAACTGCTTTTCCTGGTTATTAATCATAGAAACATAAATAGTTGGAAAAGATCTCCAAGGTCAAACCAAAAGATGCCATGTAGTGCCACGTACTTGGCACAAATCTTTGCCCCTTTTCCACGAGCCATTGGGAGCAAACAGCAAACCCAGGGATGGAGTGGGAAGGCAAAATCCAAGCAGAGCCTCTTACCGTAGGGAGGGACAAACTGAGCCCTGGGGGGCTGCAGCATTTCTCTTCTTTTCCAGTGGAAATTTTGCTCGGGCTCTTCGTTTTCGTTTGCATTTCTTATACCTTGCCATTACTGGGGAAAAAGACACATTTCAAATGGATGTAGAGAGATAAATCAAATTATACATTGGGACAGAGCTGCCACCAAAGGGAACAGCACAGGCTGCACATCAGAAATCCAGTCAGAGGTTACTCACAGCTGCCTTGGTGGAATTATCATGGACCAGGGATAGAAAATACATCCTTAATTTCATATGATCCATGGGGATGTGCTTACACAGAGGAAGCACCGTTTTATATGGGCTTATTCCTCTCCTTTTCTATTGTGTCATAGATAGCATAAATAATTATTGTAAATATAATAATATGAATTAGTTAAATAAGCACACATGAAAAATATATTCTAAATAATACTATAAATAGGTATAAATACACAAGAAAGTAACTAGAAATATTAACAACTAAATAGAAACCTTGCAAGTATGTAAGCACATTAAAACATGTAATATTAATATGTAAGCACAATAAAAATAAACGGATGTTCAGTTTTTCGTTAAGCTGACGTGCCAAGTACTGAATTTGGGGAAAACAACGCTTGGGAAGAACGGTGACAAAAAACACGGAGAAGCCACGGAAGGATGCCGGGGGCGGCCCGGGCCGGTCCCTGACCGGTGATCGGCGACACGCCAGTCCCGCTCACCCGGGACCCCGCACCGAGACCGGGGATTTCTCTCTCTCTCTCACACACACGCACACACCTGTGGGGGTGTCCCGGGGGTGTCCCGGGGCCGCCCCGTCCCCCCGGCCGCGCTCCGCGCCCGCCGCCGCCGCCGATTCAAACCGCTCCCCGCGCCGCGCCCAGCCAATGGCAGCACCGCTCTCTGCCGGCCCCCCCACGCGGCGCATGTAAGCCGCTCGCTGATTGGCTGTCGAGCCGAGGCGCGCCCGCGCTCCACGGGAGAGGGGCCGGCGCTGCCCCGCCCCGGCCCGGCCGCGCTGAGGCGAGCGGCGCCGCCATTGGACGAGAGGGCTCGGTGCCGCCAATCGGCTGCGGGCAGCGCTCTGCTGGGGAAGGCCGGCGGGGTGAACCGAGCGAGGAGCGGCCCCGCCGCGGCTACCGGCGCAACCGGGAGAGAAGCGGGGACGGGGAGCGGCGCCGCCGCCCTCTCAGGGCCGCGGCGGACGGGCCCGCGCCGCTTCCCGCCAGCGCCGCGCGCCCCACCCCGGCCAATCACGGCCGGAGCCCACTCCGGGCCAATGGGCTCGCCCGTACCTCGGAGCGGGTTTACATTCTCCGCGGGCCAATGCCGAACGCGCCCCGCGAGCCGCCAGCCAATGGGAGGCGCGCGGCGAGTGACAGCTGGCCAATGGGCGCCGCCGACTCTCCCGTGCCGCGGCGCGGGGGGTGGGGATCTCCCCGCCGCCGCCTGAGGAATGTCAACTATTCAACATGGAGACGGCGGTTACCAGGCTCGAGACCCTGGTGAGGGCGGGCGGCGGCCGCGCTGAGGGGCGGCCGCGCCGCGGGCCGGCGGCGGCGACGCCTCGGAGGGCGCGGGGCCGCCGCGGAAGGGAGGGAGGAAGGGAGGGAGAAGCGGGCGCGCGGGCGCGGCGCGACGGAAGAGCCGCCACTCAGCCGCGCCCGCGTTCCCCATCCGGGCCCTGAGCGCGGCCCGCGCCGCCCTCGACGGGGCGCCCGCCGGCCGCGTCCGGGTCAGGCGGGTTCGGCCGGGCCGGTCCATTCCATCCCCCCCCCTCGAGGGGCGGGGCTTGCGCCGCTCCATTCACCCCTCGGCGCGGGGCAGGGCGCGGCCATTCCCGCGCACCTTTAGGGGGGGCGCGGTGGGCGCGCTCATTGCCCGCCTTGCGGGGGGACGCGGCCGGGCCGGGCCGGGCCGCTCCATGTCCCCGCGGCGGGAGGGGGGGCGCGGGGTAGAGTGGAGCTCGCGGACTAGTCCATTTTTTCCCCAGAGGGGGGTGAGGGTGGAGCGCTCACCTGGGCTGGACCATTTTGGCTGCGGGGGGGTGAGAGAGAGGCGGGCTGGGCTGGTCCATTCGCGCGGGCGCGCGGGGGGAGCGGGGCGATGGCCCCTCAGCCCTCGCCTGCCGAGCCCCAAATCGCGGAGTTTTCGCGGCTTTTCTCTCGTTTCGCTGCTCTGAGGCAGCCCCTGAAGCAGCACGGGGCTGGAATGATGGCCTCTCTGCCAGCCCCACTCCTGAAAAGTGGAAAAAAGGCAGAAATGAAGCTCTCCCAGGAAGCTGTGCTGGGTTTCCTCACGCTGGGGAGCTGTGCCCAGACAGCCGAGTTCCCTGTGCCTCAGACCTTCAGCTTCCTCAGTCCCTCAAACCTTCATCTTCCTCATCCCCCTTCCTTCATCCACCAATCCCTCAGACCTTCATCTTCCTCATCCCCCTTCCTTCATCTTCCACCAATCCCTCAGACCTTCATCTTCCTTCCACACAGTTTTTTTTCCATTTTTGCCCATAGTGTAAGCTTGATCTCCCCATATCTAGTATTCTCTATTTTTTTCTGAATCGTGGTTTAATTTAGAAATATGTTTAAAGGTGCTTGGGTTTAGATGTTTAATTAATTTATTTATTGTCACGGTTTATTTCTGTGTTTCATTGAAAGTCATGCTTTCAAGTGGTTCTCATTTTAGGACCTGTGAACAGAGAGGTATTTTTGCCCCCTTTCAGCTAGCAGGGTTTTTTATTCTGGAATTCAGAATAATCTCACATTTCACAGCTTTGTGTCTCTTGCCTTCCCTCCTGCTTTGTTGTTTCCCCGTCCTGGATTTCCTGTGAAGCCAGCTCTCTCCACAGAAGTGTGATAAAACAACACTTCTTATTTCCCTGCAGCTTTTGACATGAATTTCATGGAAAGCTTCCTTTTGGTCTCATGGAAGCAGGGATAAATTAATTAGTGGGAGCTTGAAGAGGACAATGGGCATGAAAATAATAAAACCAATCAGGTAATCAATGGTTATTTGTGACAGGAGCACCACCAGAGTGTGAGATTAATTATGGAAAAGATCATAGAGCTGGCAGTGCTTCATTCAGAGCAGTGCAGTTCATTCCTGTCAGTTTTTTGGGACCCTGCACCTCCTCTGGGCCTGAGTGGTGTCTGTCCAGTGCCCTTTTTATGTTGTACTACTGGTGATGATGCACAAAAAGCAGTGCAATGTTAAAAGGGCATTGGCCAGCAATACAATCTGCATTATTCTGTATTCTTTTTAATAATATACAAGCCCAAAATCTGTCTGAGACCGCAAAACAGCTGTCAAATGAGATTGCCACTGGTTTATTTTATTTTATTTTATTTTATTTTATTTTATTTTGTTTTATTTTATTTAAGGAGGAATGTTGGCCATTTAATGACAAATGCCATCATCTCTGTCTTAGACATGGCCCAGGTGACTCAGCTCTGTGTACATCCCCAAAAATCCCCTCTCTCCACTCCATTCCCAGATTTTTTTGGTGTTTTTTTTAAAAATATATCAGCAGCTTCCACCCCTGAGAGTTCTCCAGCTCTCAATGTGAAGTTATTGCTGTGTTTAAAGATGCCCATCTCCACTGAGATTCGTGGAACAAACCCTGCCTGTGGTGGTGTTCTCACCCCCCACTGGCAAAGGACATCCCCAGAGCTGGCCAAGGAGTGTTAAAGTGCATTTTGCTGTGATTCAGCACTGGAAATTATAAAAAATAAACTCTGCTGTCTAGAAAATATTCCCTGTAATGCAGTTTGAGAACATCTATCTGATGGCAGTCTGGAATCTTAGCTTGCTGTGAGGCAAATCCAAGCAATAAATGCACTTGGAAATGGAATTTCCAGTTTAGAAAGCACCAAACAGTTTGAAATTGAATTTCTGGCAGATCTGTTGAGCGTTTTGTTGGGTGGTTGGGGTTTTTTCCCCCCTCATGATCAGTGGAATGGCAGATTCTGACTAATAAAAATAATAATAATGTGAATTTTTGTGTGTGTGCCTGTTAGGACTTGGTGAGCTTTAACCTTATCCAGCTCTTCACCATCCACAGAAACCTCTGGCTGAGTTGATGTGGGGTTTTTTCCCAATTTTTGGTGAGTGTGTGATTGATTGTTGCCCAGAATTGTTGCTGCTAACGAGTGCTCTGACTTTATTGCACTACTGTGCTATACAGAGAGCAGTGCAATAGTATTGTCAAAGCATCTGAGAGCAGAGCCCTCAGCACTGGCCTCACTCACTTTCTAACATTTTCTTCTAAACCTGTGAGTAAATTACAAATTTACACATCAAACCCTGCATTTTCTCTGTGGTTTATTGTAAAATAATCATCCTACAAATGCTTCTGACCTAGAATATTAAAGGGGGGGTTTTTGCAGGTGGATGTTTCCTGAAATGCAGCAAGAAATAAATATTTACAACAATAAAAGCAGTCGTAATGAACTGTGTTAATGTCTTCACAAAGCTTAAAATTCTGGCCACATTTAGCTTCACATCCAGTTTTTAATGTCCTGAATCACAGTATGTTAGTTAGCTCCTTATGGAAATCTTAAATTATCAGTATTGAATATTTAATGGGTCATTTTGAAAGCAGTTTTTGTTGCCTGCTTTCCCAAAAACTGATCGAATGGATCAGTTCTTTGCTTTTCTCCAGAAAAGCAAAAAAAATGAAAAAAGCAAAAAGCAAAAAATAAAAATTTTGAGGTGCCTGCTGTGGAAAGGAAAACCCACAAATATTTCTTAGTGGAGGAGAACAGAAACCATTGAGCAGTCAGGGAAGAAATCCCTTGTGAGCTCTTTAAAAATGTACAGTGTGCTGAAAAAGTATTTTATTCTTGGATTTTGTCCTGGCTGGTTTCTGGGGCAGGTGTGGGAAGGAGTTTTGCTGGGCAGATGGTGAGTTATGGCAGCACTGGGTGAAAGCTTTCCCCCTGATTTATAGATGCTCAAGCTCTTCAGTAGATTTATTTTCCTTTTCTCAAGCTATTATTTGAAAATGTGCTGGAGGTGTGTGGAACATCATCCATCACCCCCTCAGAAAGAAGCTTTTATTGGAGAGTGTCCTGGATCAAATCCTGCTCCTTCAGGCTGAATTTCCAGACTCCCAAAGGCATTAATGGCCATTCCTTAAGGCTGATGTCCAAAACATAAATATTGGAATCCCAGCCTGACCACAGACTGTGGATATTTATTCCTTTATAACAAATACAGCCTTTAATCCTTAAAAAAATCATAATTGGAATGGTCACTTTGGGGTTAATCTCAAAAGAAAAGCAAGTTAAGGAAGTCACAACCATTTTTCCATTTTTAACTTGCTTTCATCATTGTCTCTTCTGTGACTGTAAAATCACTGAATTATTATGTCAAAGAGTTAATGAGTTGCTTGGGAGCTGGGAAAACTGCCTTTCTTGAAAGTGGAAGTCTTTAACAGATATTAAAATTGCAGACTAAAATTAATTAAGTAGTAATGCTATCAGCAGACTGTTTTACAAGGCAATTAGACAATTCTCTGGTGGCTTATTTATCCCAAGGAATGAAAAGTGATGTCATCCATTTTATGAGCTGTTAGTCAGTCTGGTATATTAGGGAATAATAAAATGTATTGTGGACATTAAAACCATCAGAAGGAACACATCCCTAATATGATTATTAATAAAAGCTCTGATGATACTCTTGGATCCTGAATTTACTCATAATCTCCTCTGTGTAAATAACTGATTGTTGTAAGTTTTGCTAACAGAACTCTTTGTATTTGAGAAAAATTAAATTTGAAAACTTTTATGGTCTCTGAGCTTTTCAAAGTGAGGAAGCTGCCTCCTGCT